TTGGGTGGATGCTGAAGCCGTGAGGACACCTCTGACTATCCATCCATCCATCCATCCGTCCATCCATCCGTCCATCCCCCTTTCCCTCAGCACCCCAGGGTGCTCAGAGCCCATTGCTGCTGCACAGCCATGGGGTGCAGAGACCAGAACCCCTCGGCACTGCGGGCTGCACAGCCCTGCCTGGGACGCACCAGGCGGTCCCCGTCCCCAGCACAACCGGGGCCCCTCTCTGTCCCCGCTACCCTGGGGACAAGATGCTGCTTCCCTTCCCCTCTGCGCTTTTCTGCAGCCCTCAGGTGCGGCTGCACGGCCCAGGGAGGGGGCCGGAGCAGCCCCCCAGAGCCCCGGGGAAGCAGGGCAGGGGCGGGCTGCGGGCAGACCTGTACATTTATTTACAAGAAGGCGAGAGCCAGGCAGGACTGCAGCATTAGGCAGGGCCCCATGAGTGGTGTCCCCCGCCTGGTGGGGATGAGCCCGAAGCCCCTTCACCTGCGGCAGCCGGGGGGGCTGGGGGGGTGGGGGGCCGGTGCCTCCTCCTGTCTCTCCCCTGAGCTTTTCCAGCAGGCGCAGAGGGCACAGGCAGCCCCGGAGCAAACACACAGCCCTGTCTTGGGGCGGCTCGGCCATGGCGAAAGCCAAAGCGGAGGGCAGGGGGAGCCCGGGACCCCCCGCCAGCCCCCCATCCCCTCCTGCAGCGGGCAAGGGGGGAAGCTGCAAAGCCCGGGGTCACCCATCCTCCGGCAGCACCAGGGAGCCCCGAGGGGCGCAGACAGAGGGGAGAGGGCTCGGGGCAAGGCGGAGGAGCGGGGGCAGCACCCGCCACCCACAGCCCGGCCGGTCCCGGGGAGTCCCTGCACGGGGTGGGGGGAGCTGGCGGCCGCCCCCGGGGGGGGGGCTGGCGGCCGCAGCCGCCGACCGGCAGTTCCTGTGTGTTGGTGGTCAGGGCTGGAGCGATGCTCGCAGGAGCGGGGGAGCACGGTCCAGCTGCTCTTCATTAGGACGCCTCGCTCATCTTGATCTGGCGGGGACGGGTGAAGCAGAGGTTGTGTTTTTCCCCCCGCTGGCAGAGCCGAAGGGCAGGGAGGGCAGGAGGAACACAAAGCCTCCTTCTTCCCTCGCTGGCTCCCAGCTGGGGATGCTGCTGGAAGCATGCTCGCCGCTTCCTCCCTTCCTGTGCGAGCAGCAGCTCGGGGCCAGCTCCGCTCCCGCACACCCGGCCAGCCAAGGAGGCGGCGCTTCGGCCCTGGCTCCGATGCCAAAGCGCCAGGGCTGCAGGTCCACGCCTGCCCTCCGGCATCCCCATGCTGAGCCACAGCGCTGGGAAGGGAGGTCGGGCAGCTCGGAGTCCAGCGACAGCGAAGGCAGGGCAGGCCTGCAGCATTTACAGGCAGAGCGCCTGAGTCTTGGGTCCAAGGTAGCGGCAAGCGCGTGGGGCGGCCCAGGCGGCGCGGCTCACGCTGGGCTGGCCTTTCTCCTCTGAGGCCATGGGAAGGAAGCACGAGTGGAGCAGAGATGCTGCGGGTCAGGCACCGTGCAGCCGGGCCAGGGATGAGATCGGAAAACACCATTCAGGAGCAGCCGCACAGTCCGAGGAAATCCAGACAGGAGCATTGGCTCAATGGGAATGGGGAGGGCCGGAGCCCCGTAGGGCGCTGCCGGCATTCCCAACAGCGGGTCCCCGGCCCAGCAATGCCACCCAGGGTGGAACGAGCTCAGCAGAGTGGCTCCGCAGCAGCGGGTGCGGGCAAGGAGCCCGGCCGAGCCCTGGCCCCTGAGCAGTCCGGCAGCCGCTGGGTGCCAAGGCAGGGTGCAGCCCCAGGGGATGCAGCAGAGCAGCACCCGCGGTGGTGGTGGCGTGGGGCACGGAGCAGGGGCGCAGCGCGCGCCGCAGCGGCACGGGGTCCAGAGCAGCCATCTGGCAGCAGCACGGGCAGGGAGGGGGCTGTGCAGCTCCAGCCCCTGGCCCCCGCAGTGGAAAGCGGGCAGGGGCCGACCCCAGCGAGGTCCTGCTGCCGTCCAGAAGCAAGACTGACGTGGGACCCTCGCAAGCAGTTTCTCTCTGGCCTCGACTGACACATGGCTCAGGCTCCCCGCGGGAGCCCCCGCTCAGACGCCCAGTGCCGTCAGCGACCCCGAGCTGGTGATCTTCTTGAAGCGGTTGGCGGCACAGACGCCGATGAAGTTTTTCTGTAAAGGGGAAGAGGAGAGATGCTCATCCTACCGCGAGGGCTGCGGCTCCAGAGGCTGAGCCAGATGCCGCTCCCGGGGCTGGGGAGCAGGCAGCCGCCCGGGCACCCGCTCAGCTGGGCTGCATGGGGGGGGAGCGCAGGGCTGGCCCTGGGGCTCATCCCCTACACTGCCCTGATGCCAATCCTGCCCCTAAAATGGGCTCTTGGGATCGGCTCAGGGAAGACCACCTATGCTTGACAGGGGTCCCACCTTGGGGGCACCCACGCAAGGACCCTGGTGCTGGGGAGCCCTTCCTCCAGGCTCAGGGAGCCCCGGCCCTTGTGTCCCGGCTGCCAGCAGCACAGTGGGACAGAGCCATCCTCCACGTCCCAGATGCCATCTGCCAGGAAGGGCAGAGGCCACCAGCTCCCCCAGACAGTGTTGTCCCTCCTCCCCGTGCCAGTCCCACATCCTCCGCACCTTCCAGCGCCGCCGCATGACGTATTTCTTCAGCAGCACCTGGGACTTGAGCCGGCGGTTGCAGCGCTTGGCCTTTTCTGCCAAGTTGTTGAGCCAGGGATGCTGCAGGCACTGGCCGGCGCTCATCCGGCCGCTGGGGGCGAGAGGAGCCTGCGTCAGCCCTGCTCGAGCCCCTCTGCCCCAGCCACCCCCTTCTCCAGCTGCCCAAGAGCCCCAAAACCCCAGAAACCTGCCGGGGAAGAGCCTGCCGGAGGGATGTGCCCAGGGACCAGGGGGGCTGGGCAGGACCCCAAGCGGTCCAGCGCATCCTGCTTGGGGCAGGAGACCCTGGAGGGACACGGGGCTCTGCCGGGGACAGCCAGCGGCCAGGGCAGGGCCCTGCGAGGCTCATTGGGCACAGGACATCAGGGGATGCTGCTGGTCCCGGTGCAGAGGGCAGCGCGTGGTACCCAGGGGCTGGGCAGGCAGCTCTGGGGATGCCCACCCCAGGACCCCCACGGCCGCTGCCGGCCTCGCACCTCTTCTCCTTGATGATGAGGTTTGAGACAAAGTCCTTGGCCTCGTCAGAGACGCTCTCGAAGGTCTCCTCGTCGAAGTACCAGTTGGCAGCCAGGACGTTGTTGAGCGTCTCGGTGTCGTTGTCACCCAAGAAGGGGGAGAGGCCGCTGAGCCTGAGGGCGCAAGGGGGTGAGGAGTTGGGTGCCCTCGGGCTGTGGCACCTCTGAAACCCCCCCAGAATGGAGCCGATCTGGCTGGGGCTGCCCTGGGGAGCGAGGCAGGGCAGCCCAGAGAAGGGAGGCAGCGTGCGGCTGCTGGGACCACGCTGCGCTCCTGCCTGCAGCGGGGCTGAGCCGATTCCTGCCTGCACGCATGGGCACAGACGCTCCCCGGCCCCATGCCCTGCCCCCCAGCCCCACCTGCCCATCTCCCCGTCCAGCACCCTCCGCTAGCCCACCAAGCATCTGGGTGCCTGGGGCACATGTGCGGCTTGGGGACAGCTCGGTGCCCGGGGGGGTCCTGCCCCGGCACGGCGCTGGCAGCACCCCCGCGCAGCCCCGACGTACAGCATGTAGGTGATGACGCCCATGCTCCACATGTCCGTGGAGTAGGAGACCTGCTCATAGTTGACCACCTCGGGGGAGAGGAATTCGGGGGTGCCGAAATTCACCTTCAGCTTCTCCTGGGGGTTGTACCTGCAGCCAGGAGGGGCAAGTGAGGAGGGGGTCCCAGGGCTCCCAGCACCCCAAGGGTGTGCAGGGCCGAAGGGTGGGAGGGGGACAAGGAGAAAGGATGGAGTTGAGGAGGGAAGATGGCACCTTCGAGCCAGCCCAAAGTCGATGATCTTCACCATGTGCCCGGTGGCAGCGACGCAGAGGATGTTCTCGGGCTGTGGGGACAGGAGACCATTGCCACACCGCCAAGAGGGGACGTCCCCAGCGCACAGGTCTGGCAGCGTGCGGGCCTGGCAGCCCACCGGTCCTGTGGCTGGCCGACGCCAGAGTGATACCGACTTGCAGGCACCCCTCCCGTGGCTGGCCGGCATCGGGGACGCGCTGCCCTCGCGAGCACGGCAACGCTCCCCACTTCAGTGGCCGCAAAGACCCCCTGCCCCCCGGCCTTCCCCAGCCCCGCACCTTGAGGTCGAGGTGGAGGACGCGCATGTGGTGCATGAAGCGGATGCCCTCGCAGATCTGCCGGACGAACACCATGCAGTCCACCTCCGTCAGGTGGTAGTCGTCGTCGATGATCCGCTCGAAGAGCTCGCCGCCCTCCACGCTGCGTCGGGACGGACCACGGGGTCACCTGGGGCTCCCTGCCCCGCAGAGCCCCCTGCCCACCCTGGGGAACCCCAGCCCAGCCCCACCATGGAGGTGCTGGTGTAGAATTTGAGCAGAGTCACGGTGGGACGCGTGTGTGCTGGGATTAGACACCCCCCTCAAGGCTAGCACGGGGAAGGGGGGGTTACCCCAAAACACCACAACTCCCCTGGGGTTTGTAGAGCAGAACAGCCCCAGCACAGCCCCAGCCTCCCTGGAGCAAGCAGGCAGGGGGAAAAGGAGCTGCGTGGGAAGGACTTGGATCATCTCCACCCTCAACGCCGCTGCGATGGAAGGAGATGCTGTCCCGGCCAGGCAGAGCCCGAGGCTGCTTCCGAGGCCAGCGTGGGATGAGGATGAGCGAGGTGAGGGACGTTGCCTGGGGCCAACCCCTTCTGCTGGGCGAGGGGCTGGCACATCTGCTCCATCGCTACGGCATCCCCTGCGACGGTGCCCCTCTCCCAGGCATCGGCCCCACGCGGCGCTACCCCAGCACTCACAACTCCATGAAGAGGATGATCTCCCGGGGCGTCTCGATGGCATCGTAGAGCTGGATGAGGTTGCGGTGGTTCAGCTGGTTCATCACGTCGATCTCCAGCAGCACCATCTCCTGCAGAATGAGCAGCGGCGTCAGCCCTGGCCGAGCCACCGGCACGGGGACAGGCCGTGTCACAGCACCGGGGGCACGCTGGGCATGGTGCTGCCACCCACCACCTTGGCCACGCCACTTGCTGGTGGCACCGTGGCCAGGCGGAGGCCCCCGCCCCGGCAGCGGCCAGACCTTGTCCTTGGCGCCCTGCTTCCGGATCACTTTGGCCGCCAGCTTGAGCCCCGTCTGCTTCTCCGTGCATATGTGGACTTCGCCGAACTTGCCCCTGGGGAGGCAGAGAGGGAGAGATGCCAACGCCATCAGCCGCCCAGGCTGCTGGGGACCCCCACGCTGCGCCGGGGTGCTGCCCCATGCTCCCCTCCGCACCCATCCTGCCCGAGGCACCAACCCGTCGTGGCCAGAAGAGTCCCGTTTACCCAGGACCATTGCCCAAGGCTGGATGGCAGCTCGGGGCAGTGCCGGGGGAAAGCCGGGCACCCCACGCCCTCCCAGGGCCCCTCCTTACCCTCCCAGGATCTCCTTGGAGCTGAGGTTGTACTGGGAGCTGACGCTGGCGGACCGCAGGGTGACGATGCGGTGGGCGAAGGGCGCCGGCGGCGGAGGGACATCGTCTGCACAGAGAGGAGGGCTGGGGTGAGAAGGGGAGCTGCCTGGCCGGGAGACCCCCCCGCTGGGCACCCCAGGGTGCCCCAGGCTGAGAGGGTGCCCCAGCACAGGGCGAAGGCAGGCACCCAGCGGCGCAGCGCAGCCCAGCCAAGCCTGTGGGTGTAGGATGCGGCCAGGTACTGAGTGCCTGGCTGCAAATCAGGGTCTCCTGGCTGCCTGCTGCACCGGGGGACGCAGTGTCCCCCGAAAAGGTCCCTCGCCACTGCCCGCAGCATCGCCCTGCGTGGCACCCACCCCGCTGCGTGGCACCACCCCGCTGCTCGCCCACTCCCCACCGTCCCGCGTGTCACGCTCGCCCTCTCCAGGCCACGCTGCTGCGTGTCACCCTCTCCGGGCCACCACGCCACCAGGTCCCGCTCGCCCTCCCAGGACAGAGCCCACGCACCCGGGCCCGGGCCACCCTTGCCGCGGCGAGGGCAGGAGCCGGGCTCGCAGGGAGCCCCGTGAGCCCCCGGGCGGGGCGCAGCCCCCCGGCCCCGCCACCCCCGCAGGGACAGCGGCGCGGGACACGGGGACGCGCTGTCCCCTGCCACGGGCCAGGCGCTGGCTGGGGCGCCCCCGGGTCCC